TATTACAACTAGGGTTTTTCCTAAAATTATCAAAGTAACCCCAACATATCAATATACTAAAACTTAGAACAAAACTTATATGATGGAGTAGGAAATCCCTACCTCGAAGAAAATAACCCGAATGGAGAAGACAGAGATGAATACCCAAAATCCAAAGTGCTCCAAATCGCGAAAAGTTCAGATTAAAACGGAGCCCTCGACTCACACTATCTTTTTAACAAAGGATCTAGGGTAGTAATACACTCTAAGTAGATCAAACCTAAGAGAGAAGATGTGTAGGGAGAGAGAGAAGTCGGACCTAGGGTTTGGAATAAAAAAGAAGATGAAAAAGACTGATCAAAACCCGCTGCTGCTTATATAAACTGGACAGGCTCGCTCGAGCGAAGACATGGTCGCTCGAGCGACCAGAAACAAGAAAACCATGCTCGAGCGAAGAAAAGCTCGCTCGAGCCAAGAATGCAATGCTTCAGGTCTGCAACCCTAGAGCACACTCGAGCGACAGAATGCTCGCTCGAGCAAGGAACTAGAAAACATACACCTCGCTCGCTCGAGCGAAGAAAATCTCGCTCGAGCGAATAAGCACTACCCTCAGGTCTATACCAGACGCAGTCGCTCGCTCGAGCGAAGCAAATCTGGATCGAGCCAGAAGACACAAAAAAACAAACCTCGCTCGAGCGACCAAATCCTGGCTCGAGCGACCAACCCAAAAACTGGACAGCAACACTTGGTTTACGAACCCAACCAACCTGAAACAAACCTGCCCAACACATCCTATAACTCCAAATGAGAAAATAAAGGACGACAACAACAAATATACAATGACAGAATAAACGGAACCCCAAGTCCGGATACAATAATCAAATGGGAAAAGACCGGGGTCGCTATAGAATCTCTAGGCGAGTGTCTGCAAGTAGGCCCTAATGCACTACCACTGTCATTTTTATTAGTAAACTGGAAGGCTCGACACCTAACTGCGCGGTTCCACACCCCCAACCCAGATTCACCAAGTATTCATCTTTTCGCAAATAGATACATTTCCAAACATTTCTAAAAAACAGATACCTTTCCAATGAAATTAATGTAATGCAATGAGCAATGCAACAAATGAGAAATGTGGTTCAATTTACCTAAGTCTCATGCCTTTCTACAACAATTATGGTTATCTTCCACCGACAGCCCAAAAAAGATATTTCTAAACAGATATTTAAACAATGAAATTCCAAAAATTTTGATAAATACAATCTATTCCACATTTCATCAAATATGAACAACTACACTAGTTTTCATATCACAATCACGTCCGGTAACCTCTTAAGGTTCATTTCTAACCACGTCGGCTTTATTCCAACAGATACATTAAGCAAAATAATATCGTTAATGCCCAAGAAAATATCATCTTCTTTCCAAACTCATTCTCCAAGCATTATTCAACTATGACATCCTATTTTGATCAAAAACCCTTAAAATTAAATACAATTCCTTTGTTTTCTTTAAAAATGCTCTTTTGGTCACAAACCGGTAAAAATTTCAAAACTAATCGAATTGAAGTTCGTTTTTATTCAAATTTAAAACATAGCTCTTTCATAACCTTACAAATATATTCCAAGTTTACACTTTCACAATTTGGGTATCAACTCTTTATTTTTCTCAAAATTTCACTTCTAAGCAAATAAATCACAAATTTTCCAAAAATTCTAATTAAATTATATGGAACTCTAAACTCCCTATAATCAAGTAAAAGTGCATAAAGAAGTGCAGCAAAAATCCCTACCTCAAGCTTAGGAGAGAAAATGGATGAAAACTCAAAAATTTGACGTTGCCGAAATTCGATCTCCACCGATCAAAATGTTGCTCCTGCCAAGCTCTTCATTTTGGTCTCAAGAACATTGGTCTGAAGTTTACTACAAGTGTCCACTGGGATGCTGACATTGAAGTGCACATATTGATCCCCAAGCGAGTAAGAGTTCCTTGTTTTTATCCCTTTTTTCAAAACCACCTTCTGACCAGGTTGGGTGCTGGGGTGGACCTTAAGAACAACATCTCCCGTTAGAGTTGGGACCTGGATGATTCCACCTAAAATTGCCTGAGTGATACTCAGTACATCATCAACATGAATGTTTGGCCCTTCTGGTCGAAAAACAGGATCTTCCCAGACCTTGATAGTAGCATAAAGATCACCAGGTTGATTGCCATCAGGATCTGTTCCATCACTCGTATACACCATCATAGTTTCATTATCATCTACCCCTGGCATGATATCCATCTTGACTGTCTTTGGTCCTCTAACTATTTTCTCTCCATGGCAAGACTTGCAAAAGTTCTTAACAATTTTCCCAATTCCATGACAATAAGAACACGTAACCTGGACGCTGAATGGGCCAGTGACCTTGTTTATCATGCCTGAGCCTCTACAGGTCTGGCAAGTTTCTGGTCTGGTTCCAGGAGGAACACCAGCTTCACCACAAGCTTCACAAGGCAGATCAGTTTGGAATGTCAGAGTTTTGGTGCATCCTTGAACAGCTTCCATAAAGGATAGTTCAACCAAAACCTTGACATCTTTGTCGCCCATTCCCCTATTAAAGATAATATTGAAGATATTATCAGTATTGAAGATGTCAGTAAATGGATAGAAATCAGGACCCCATTTACCACCACCCATGCCACCACCATGAACATTGTTTTCATAAGTTTCATGGCCAAGTTGGTCATACTGTGCACGTTTTTCTTCGTCCTTCAAAACCTCATATGCCTTTTGGACTTCTTGAAATTTCTTTTCAGCTTCAGGATCATCTTTATTTGTATCTGGATGTAACTGCTTTGCAAGCCCATAATAAGCTTTCTTGATTTCAGATGCAGTTGCATTCTTATTTACACCAAGTGTGTCATAATAATCTCCGGCTGCCATATATGCAGTGCCATGAATAGCTCTTGCTACAGGGGCCCCAGTTACAGTCAGTGTAGTACTCTTCGGTACTGGACCTTGAGTTGTAGTAATGGTGAGAGTGATTGAAGAAAATGAATGTTAATAGAGTGTTTCCTCCACTCCCTCTTCCTCTCCCTCTCTCGTTTCACTCCTGTTGTCTGTGTAGTATATTGAGAACAATCAGACCCATCTCTCTCTCTCTTTAGAAAATATTCTTTACACCTTTTGACCCCACTCCAGCACCTCCTCTTTTCTTTTAGAAGACCACTCTACCTTTTCTCTACAATCTCTCTACAATCTTTTTTTTTTTTTTTTTTTTTTAACATTTTCATAATCTAGTGCAATAATTTACAAAATATACATTCAAAGTGATTATCTCAAGACTCTTAACCAATAAGAACACCCCCTTTAAAGACACAATTCAATGATATATTTTGTAATTGCAACGTCACACTATAACTAACTCATACTAAAAGAAAAGAGGAGGTGCTGGAGTGGGGTCAAAAGGTGTAAAGAATATTTTCTAGAGAGAGAGAGATGGGTCTGATTGTTCTCAATATACTACACAGACAACATGAGTGAAACGAGAGAGGGAGAGGAAGAGGGAGTGGAGGAAACACTCTGTTAACATTCATTTTCTTCAATCACTCTCACCATTACTACTACTTAAGGTCCAGTACCGAAGAGTACTACACTGACTGTAACTGGGGCCCCTGCAGCAAGAGCTATTCATGGCACTGCATATATGGCAGTCGGAGATTATTATGACACACTTGGTGTAAATAAGAATGCAACTGCATCTGAAATCAAGAAAGCTTATTATGGGCTTGCAAAGCAGTTCCATCCAGATACAAATAAAGTTGATCCTGAAGCTGAAAAGAAATTTCAAGAAGTCCAAAAGGCATATGAGGTTTTGAAGGATGAAGAAAAACGTGCACAGTATGACCAGCTTGGCCATGAAACTTATGAAAACAATGTTAATGGTGGTGGCATGGGTGGTGGTCAATGGGGTCCTGATTTCTATCCATTTATTGACATCTTCAGTACTGATAATATCTTCAATATTATCTTTAATAGGGGAATGGACGGCAAAAATGTCAAGGTTTTGGTTGAACTATCCTTTATGGAAGATGTTCAAGGATGCACCAAAACTCTGACATTCCAAACTGATCTGCCTTGTGAAGCTTGTGGTGGAGCTGGTGTTCCTCCTGGAACCAGACCAGAAACTTGCCAGACCTGTAGAGGCTCAGGCATGATAAACAAGGTCACTGGCCCATTCAGGGTCCAGGTTACGTGTTCTTATTGTCATGGAACTGGGAAAATTGTTAAGAACTTTTGCAAATCTTTCCATGGGGAGAAAATAGTTAGAGGTCCAAAGACGGTCAAGCTGGATATCATGCCAGGGGTAGATGATAATGAAACTATGAAGGTGTATAGGAGTGGTGGAACAGATCCTGATGGCAATCAACCTGGTGATCTTTATGCTACTATCAAGGTTCGGGAAGATCCCGTTTTTCAACCAAAAGGGCCAGACATTCATGTTGATGCTGTACTGAGTATCACTCAGGCAATTTTAGGTGGAACCATCCAAGTCCCAACTCTAACGGGAGATGTTGTTCTTAAGGTCTGCCCCGACACCCAACCTAGTCAGAAGGTGGTTTTGAAGAGAAATGGATAAAAACAAGGAACTCTTACTCGTTTGGGGATCAATATGTGCACTTCAATGTCAGCATCCCAGCAAACACTTGTAGTAAACTTCAGACCCATGTTCTTGAGACCAAAATGCAGAGCTTGGCAAGAGCAACATTTTGACCGGTGGAGATTAAATTTCGGCAATGTCGAATTTTGGAGTTTTCATCCATTTTCTCTCCTAAGCTTGAGGTAGGGATTTTTCCTACACTTATTTATGCAGTTTTACTTGATTATAGGGAGTTTAGAGTTACATATAATTTCATTAGAATTTTTGGAAAATTCATGATTTATTTGCTTAAAAGGAAAATTTTGAGAAAAATAAAGAGTTGATACCCAAATTGCGAAAGTGTAAACTTGGAATATATTTGTAAGGTTATGAAAGAGCTATGTTTTAAATTTGAATAAAAACGAACTTCAATTTGATTGGTTTTGAAATTTTTACCGGTTTGTGACCAAAAGAGCATTTTTAAAGAAAACAAAATAATTGTATTTAATTTTGGGGGCTTTTGATCAAAATAGGATGTCATAGTTGAATAATGCTTGGAGAATGAGTTTGGAAAGAAAATGATATTTTCTTGGGCATTAACGATATTATTTTGCTATCATCAAGATTAGAAGATTAGTGAAACCATCAAGATTAGACGATGAATTGTTTGTCATCCTATGTTGTAAAGTGACATGAAATATCATCTATGGCTTATGTTTATTAATGGGAGATTTACCAATAAATCCCAAATGTTAAACTTATGAACCAATTGGTCCCAATTTTTTTTTCCAATAAACCGTTTAGTCCTTGGATATTTTGAGGGACCTTAATGCCCTAATTTAGATGTTATTAGATGCATGCTCTCTATGAGGGTGTGTCACGTGTTACACACAATATGTTACGTGGCACACACAATGGGTGTCACACATCAACAAAGTACACCAAGGCTCTTTATGAGGGTGTGTTACGTGACACACACAATGGGTGTCATACATCAACAAAGTACACTGAGGCTCTTTATGCTTTTTGCCTTGGAGTGTCACGTGACACACACAATGGGTGCTACACATCAACAAAGTACACTAAGGCTCTTTATGTTTTTTTGCCTTGGAATGATGTATGTCACGTGACACACACACGGAAGGGTATAATTGACCACTCAATGTCACTAAACAAAGGAAATTGGATAAGCTGGCAAGATATTTCCCCACTAATAGGACTAATCAGAACAATAGAAATAACCTTATGACCAATCGGTAAAACTGTTTGTGAGATAGAATTTATTAGTAAATATCCCAAAAAAGAAACTAAAAGGAAATTTTAAAATAAAAATAACACTAATGTTATGTTTAGATATTGAATTTATATACACACACACACATATATATATATATATATATAAATCAAAAAAACAAGAAAAGAAATGAAATGGAAAAGGAAATGAATTATATTTGTTAAAAAATTTAAGTAATTTTATTTCTTTTTTATTTTCCCATCCTTTAACAAATCCAAGATACAAACATATTATAAGTTTTAGAATGCCGTAAATGCAACCTTAATCTACTAAATGAAAGTGTTCTAGATTAAATTTTCTTTTTGTTATCATTTGGCTAGGGTTTTTCTAGTTGACTTTTTTTATTTGAAACGTATTTGGTTTGGGATTAAAAAATTCGTTTGAGTTGGCTTTTTTGACTATTGTGAAATTTTATGTGATTCTTCGAAATTCGTCTTGTATCCAATTCTTTGTTATTTGGGTTTCAATAGTTGTCTCAAAATTTTTGTTTGCTGATGCCATTCCTTTACCTTTCCAATTTTCGTTTTTAGAAAATAACTTTTTCCTTCTTTTTTTTTTTATTTTTATGTTTTGTTTTCCTTCTTAAATTCATCATCAAATCTACAATCCAAAAACAATCTTAGTACTTTCACAGGTGCACTTTTATGGTAATTTATTATGTAAAATTCAAATTTCTTTTTGATTTTGCGATAGCAGTTTTGAGAGAATTTTGAAACCTTTATAAGGACAATGAAATGTAAAGAAATTAATAGTGTAATATTCAATAAATAGAATTTATACATTCAAACTAAAAACCATGCTAAAAAGAAAAGAAAATTGAAAACTAAACTTGTAAAACATACCCACAGTTTGCAGCTTGCACCAGTTGTCAACAAACACGTTTGATGCACTTGAGGTCCCGTTTGTTTTCAGAAGTAGAATAGAGGGGATTGATAGTGAAAGGATTAATAGTGAGGGGACTGTTAGTGAAGGGACTACTAGTGAGGGGATTAAAAAAAATGTGTTTGTTTGATAACCAATGAACTAGTAATAGTTCATATTTATTTTGAAAAATGTGTTCATATTTTTTTATTTTTAATTATTATTAAATTTATGCTTATACCAATTAATAAATGCATTACCCAATTAAATTATTCAAAAATTAAAATTAAAAATAAAAAAAATTAACTATTAATCTATTTATTATTATTATTATTATTATTATTATTATTATTATTATTATTAAAGAAACCCACTTTTGCCATTCCTATCTCTACTAATAAAATTCAACTATTAATAGATAATATATATACCTCTTATTATTATTATTATTATTATTATTATTAAAGAAACCCACGTTTGCCATTCCTATCTCTACTAATAAAATTCAACTATTAATAGATAATATATATACCTCTTATTATTATTATTATTATTATTATTATTATTATTATTATTAAAGAAACCCACTTTTGCCATTCCTATCTCTACTAATAAAATTCAACTATTAATAGATAATATATATACCTCTTATTATTATTATTATTATTATTATTATTAAAGAAACCCACTTTTGCCTTCCACTGTGAGTTCACCAACATAGATAGATAGAGAGAGAGAGAGGGGAGGAGGGAGAAGAGAGAGTCCATGGCAAATAAGAAGAAACGTGAATGGAGAGAGCCTGTGAAGAAGAAAATTATCTCTGTAATCAATCCCTCAACTGAGGAGATCAAAGGTGTATATATTATCTGCATATATATATATATATATGTATATGTATATGTATATCATATACTATGTCTTTTGATTTGTATCTGTTTTGTTTGATTTAATCGAAGATCGGAGCATCACTCTTCAATTTTACTATTCTAATTTGCAATTTGTCTACATTTCTGTTTGGTTGGTGAGATATTGAATGAAATATACATATATATATATATATATATGATAAGAGAACAGAGACAGACTGAGAGAGAAGGAGAAGAGAAGAGGGTAAACAAGTAAATTACTCTCCTAATACCAACGGACTTATATTCAATACCAAGTGTTGGGATAGACTAACAATCCCAACATCCAAGGCCTATCTGAAGCCCTTCGGCTTATGAATCTATTCCCCAAATCTGTAAACAAACAAAAGGTATGGTCACTGTTCATTATTCACAGTCCACTCTGAACTGTGAAAGAGGAAAACAAACAGGGCCCGAGAGATATCACTGTTGGAAATCAGATTTTTAGTGGC